AGGCCAAAACTTGTGAACACAACCTCTGGTGGTGCAGCTATTTTCAGTAAGAAATAGTGGCATGAAGAGTGAGAAAAAGAGGATCTGAGTCAGATATATCTTCTTGAACTAACCAACAAATATAAACATGCATGTGTATATACAGTAAAACCTCTCTATGGTGATACTCTATATAAAAATAATATCTATATAATCATAAAAAATTCTAGTCCCAATTTAGGATAGTTACAAATAAAAATAAACTGCACATTGTAATAAGTTATAATTTTTCTAATTCCCGCCTTAAGGAAAGTTGTCTCCACAAGTAATAATTATCTATATATTACAAAAAAAAAAAAAATATTATGTTACATTAAAGGTTTAAGTTTAAATAAAATATTTATCTAAAATTGTTTGAGACAATGATTTATGTTTAGAGCTTCATAGCACGAAACTTTTTGTATTTCCGTACTATCATCCTTATGATTATTTACTTTCTCTTCTTATCTAATTATAGCAATGATTTCTTCTTCAGTTAAAGCATATACGACTTGTTGCTCATTTGGATGATCGAAGAAGACATTAATATCTATTCATTTAGTATAGTGAAGTTATCGAATCTGATTACTCAATTCTGCAATGACTCTTTTATTCTCCTCATTCACTTCATTTGTAACTTGCTATTCATCGACATCGGGGGTCCTAGTTTTGCAGTGCTTAAAATAATTGGCAATTATCTGTGGCTTTACATCAATTGACCATGCATCAACTATATTTATAGTTCCATCAATGACACTTATTTTTACTGGTTTCAAGATACGATCTTCTATCCATTTTAAAAGTAGACAATTGAAGCGTTAAATTAAAATTCTAATACTACTAAAATATGAATTAATCCTAATATTATACTACTAAAATATAAATTATAAAATAAGAAATTAAAATATTAATTTTTATAACTTCACTTCTATTAAATTATAATATTCTCATAATAATAAAATTAGTTGATCTTACGTTTATAGAAAAGGTGTGCGTGTATATATATATATATATATTTTCAATGCTTGTTACTAATTAATAAAAGCAGAAGCAAACAAAAATCTCTTACAGAAAAGAAACATAAAAACGCTAATTAATCACACGGGACTTTGTCAATGAGGTGGAGCCATATGTCGCTGTGGTTGTGGCTCTTAGTTAGGTCAGGAATCACTTTCCTCAAAACTTAAATTTAATTAATTGGACGACTCCTCCACTGCTCCTTACAAGTAGTTATCACATAATACAGCTCACGCATATTAAAGATTTTCGAGATCTTCAACCACTTTGCAATTCTCCTATACCAATCAAAATATTTCACGCCCTAAAACTTTCAATTTAGGGTTGTTCTTCTTTGTCAGCTACTTGAGCGGGCTCTCTCGATTATGACATTTAACTGTTGCACTTGTTTATGTTAATTTTAATTGGTTCAGTTTTGCCCACCATGTAACTAATACTTAAGTTGCTTAAAGGATTCAGCAAAACAAAGAGAAATGCAATTTTCGGTTTATATATTAGATTACCTGAAGGTATGAGACTAATCCCGATCAGGGTTCGAGTAAATACCTCTGATCATAAGATACTTTCAATGCAGTTCGAACCTCTGATATTGTAAGTAAACTTTGTCCCACTTGAAACCCAGTTACCTACTAGGGCCACACCTCATGGCTATGACAGCTGCAATTTAATTGCATGATTCTGTTGGCAACTATAAGAGCCATAATAATTCCTACACCTTCAAATCAAAGTGGAATAATAAAATGTGAAATTGTCTTTACATAACAAAGAATAATTAAAGCTTCCATATCCAAACCTCTCAACGTCATTGCCTGTGATTGGATACTTATTTGATTATGAAGAAGGCTTATCTTCTTAATCGAATAAGGGTTAGCTTAATCACACATATATAATTGAGTGGTTTCCATCATAAGTTGAACTGGTTAGCACTTCTTTCTTTCATTTAATCCCTTAAAAAAACAAGCAATAATTCACCTAACACACAATGGGATTGAAGGATTAATTGGGCTGTGGAATTGTTGTCGGCTTAATGCCCGTCTTAAATTGTTTGGGTCCTCCTAAATAAAGACAACTATCAATAAAAAACAACAGATTTTGTAACATCAACAACAAATAAATAAATAAATAAATAAACATGCTTAACAATTGATGCCCTGTAATGATTAAGAGATAATTTTGTGGGGTATTGCAGCAATTACTAAATTATTAGGGTTCACACAGGCACAGGCCCGTCGCCAGCACGAGACCATGAAGGAGGTCTTTATAGTTGGGCGAAATTAGGCCTGCTCCATTTATTTCTTTTAAAAAAGAAAACATTATTTCATTGTCTTCAGATATTTTCAGGAAGATTAACTCCTACCCAGTCAATTAGTCTTGAAATTTCTTAATAATTTATAGAGTAAACGACTTTTTCTCAACTCAGATAATGGTTTAATGGCATTTTTCCACTCACAAACTTTTAAAATGTCATTTTATTACCCAAATTTATATACTGTTTCTGATTCCGGCATCGTTACAATCTTACACCACCACCATTCTCTTCTCCCGATTATCACTCATCATAACCTCTCAAACCTTATTCCTGTCGATTCTACTATTCGCCGACAATTGAGTGATTAGAGTTTGTGTAGCCACTCCTCCCAAGTCAAATTCCGATTAATCTCAACTATCAAAATACAATATTCTACCACTGAAAGATTTATCAGTCTCTCCTCTTCAAAAGCTTTAACAACTTGGATGGAGTTTGCTCTTTGTTCACCAACAAAATATAAATTTAAGTAATAAATTGATATTTTAAAATTTTGTAGATAAAAAAATTGTCATTAAACCATTATTTGAGTGAGAAAAAAATCATTAACTCTAATTTATGGGAGGTCTTTTATTCAAGAAGGTCCCAACTCTGAAGCTGTGATGAAAATGAATATCCAATTCTATGCCATCTGGGCCTAAGCCCATGACCAAAAATGTCTCGCACTTTCCATCAGTTAACTAGTACACGTGTCAACTCCCGACGGTTACGCTACCTAAAAATGGCGATAACTTTACACTCAAAATCACTACCTTTCTCCAACTCTTTCTTTCTCCGACCACTCTCCAGCTCTAGAAAAATTTACGTAGCAACTGCGANACTCCTCTACTGCTCCTTACAAGTAGCTATCACATAATACAGCTCAGGCATATTAAAGATTTTCGAGATCTTCAACCACTTTGCAATTCTCCTACACCAATCAAAATATCTCACGCTCCAAAACTTTCAATTTAGGGTTGTTCTTCTTTGTCAGCTACTTGAGCGGGCTCTCTCGATTATGACAATTAACTGTTGCACTAGTTTATGTTAATTTTAATTGGTTCAGTTTTGCCCACCATGTAACTAATACTTAAGTTGCTTAAAGGATTCAGCAAAACAAAGAGAAATGCAATTTTCGGTTTATATATTAGATTACCTGAAGGTATGAGACTAATCCCGATCAGGGTTCGAGTAAATACCTCTGATCATAAGATACTTTCAATGCAGTTCGAACCTCTGATATTGTAAGTAAACTTTGTCCCACTTGAAACCCAGTTACCTACTAGGGCCACACCTCATGGCTATGACAGCTGCAATTTAATTGCATGATTCTGTTGGCAACTATAGGAGCCATAATAATTCCTACACCTTCAAATCAAAGTGGAATAATAAAATGTGAAATTGTCTTTACATAACAAAGAATAATTAAAGCTTCCATATCCAAACCTCTCAACGTCATTGCCTGTGATTGGATACTTATTTGATTATGAAGAAGGCTTATCTTCTTAATCGAATAAGGGTTAGCTTAATCACACATATATAATTGAGTGGTTTCCATCATAAGTTGAACTGGTTAGCACTTCTTTCTTTCATTTAATCCCTTAAAAAAACAAGCAATAATTCACCTAACACACAATGGGATTGAAGGATTAATTGGGCTGTGGAATTGTTGTCGGCTTAATGCCCGTCTTAAATTGTTTGGGTCCTCCTAAATAAAGACAACTATCAATAAAAAACAACAGATTTTGTAACATCAACAACAAATAAATAAATAAATAAATAAACATGCTTAACAATTGATGCCCTGTAATGATTAAGAGATAATTTTGTGGGGTATTGCAGCAATTACTAAATTATTAGGGTTCACACAGGCACAGGCCCGTCGCCAGCACGAGACCATGAAGGAGGTCTTTATAGTTGGGCGAAATTAGGCCTGCTCCATTTATTTCTTTTAAAAAAGAAAACATTATTTCATTGTCTTCAGATATTTTCAGGAAGATTAACTCCTACCCAGTCAATTAGTCTTGAAATTTCTTAATAATTTATAGAGTAAACGACTTTTTCTCAACTCAGATAATGGTTTAATGGCATTTTTCCACTCACAAACTTTTAAAATGTCATTTTATTACCCAAATTTATATACTGTTTCTGATTCCGGCATCGTTACAATCTTACACCACCACCATTCTCTTCTCCCGATTATCACTCATCATAACCTCTCAAACCTTATTCCTGTCGATTCTACTATTCGCCGACAATTGAGTGATTAGAGTTTGTGTAGCCACTCCTCCCAAGTCAAATTCCGATTAATCTCAACTATCAAAATACAATATTCTACCACTGAAAGATTTATCAGTCTCTCCTCTTCAAAAGCTTTAACAACTTGGATGGAGTTTGCTCTTTGTTCACCAACAAAATATAAATTTAAGTAATAAATTGATATTTTAAAATTTTGTAGATAAAAAAATTGTCATTAAACCATTATTTGAGTGAGAAAAAAATCATTAACTCTAATTTATGGGAGGTCTTTTATTCAAGAAGGTCCCAACTCTGAAGCTGTGATGAAAATGAATATCCAATTCTATGCCATCTGGGCCTAAGCCCATGACCAAAAATGTCTCGCACTTTCCATCAGTTAACTAGTACACGTGTCAACTCCCGACGGTTACGCTACCTAAAAATGGCGATAACGTTACACTCAAAATCACTACCTTTCTCCAACTCTTTCTTTCTCCGACCACTCTCCAGCTCTAGAAAAATTTACGTAGCAACTGCGACGATCCACTGCTCCGCGTCACCATCGCCCGCAATGGATCCAAAACCCTCCCGAAAGCACGTGGCAGTATGCGGTGGCGGTGTAATCGGCGTTTGCACGGCTTACTTCTTAGCCAAAAAAGGCGCCGCCGTCACGCTCATTGAGAAATCCTCCATAGCATGCGCCGCCTCAGGAAAAGCCGGCGGATTCCTAGCTCTTGACTGGTGTGATGGTGGCTCCCTCTCTTCATTAGCTCGTGAAAGCTTTTATCTACACCGTTCGCTCTCCGAGGAACTCAATGGACCCGAAAATTACGGGTATCGACCGCTTACCACTCTCAGCCTCACTGTAACCGAATCGTCCAGTTCGAAATCCTCCGGAAATTCTAATTCAATTCTTCCTTCGTGGGTGGACGGGCCAGCGAAAAGCCCGAGAACAATTGGGTCAACTGAAACTACGGCCCAGGTTCACCCACAGTTATTTACCAAGACTTTGTTAAGCAAAGCTGTAAATGATTACAATGTGGAGGTGGTGATAGGGAAAGTGGAGAGCGTGGGAGTTGATGAAGGAGGGCGAGCTGAGTCGGTAGTTCTAGAGGGTGGGCGAGTTATTGCGTCGGAGGCAGTGGTACTAAGTTTAGGGCCTTGGTCTGGTAAATTCGAGATGCTGTCGTCGATTTTTAATGTGTCTGGTCTCAAGGCTCATAGTATTGTTTTAGAGCCGAAAGAGGCGGATGCTATAACGCCACATGCACTTTTTTTGAGTTATCATCCAGCTCAGGGTGGCAAACCGATGGACCCCGAAGTGTATCCACGTCCCACAGGTAATTTTATTAGCCCTTGTTGATTGTTGTATCATTAGAGGAGCTTTACTTGTATTTGCTGAAGCTTTTTGCGTAGCATTTGTTTAAGTTTGATGCTTGCTTGGGAATGTGGTCCATTTAGTTCTGGTAATGGACAAGAAGGGCTGAATTTCCTGTATTAGTTATGCTAAATTTTGAAACATTTAGGTTGATTGCACAAGTGCTATGTCTTCAAGAATCAAAATTGATTGATAAGAAACTTCTTCTTGGCCAATTTTAAATTTTTATCTGTGCTTAAATAAGTTATTTGATCTGTGCTTAAATAAGTTATTTGTTCTTGATGATTGAGTAACAAGTACTTCCGTTTTACTTGAAACTAGATGATTAGGAAGGGGTTGCACACTACCTAGTACCTATAGCTTCCTAGACCCTCCAACAAAGTTATAAAAGTTTCTGTTTTAATTTCAATCTCCTAGACTACACAAATCCTGGAGAAAGAGAACTGTGAGAAATCAAATAATCTTCATTCACTAGTTGTCATTATCCTAGAGCTTAAATTTTATAACTCAGCAATTCCAACAATTTAAGAATAAGATACAAAGATATTCTTCCATGTGGGATTGCATCTGCACTTTGCACCAGTATTCGTCTCCTTGAAGCTTGCTATCTCGAGTTTCTTAGATACAGTTTGTTATGTAGGACAACTTTGTCAAGTCCATTAGTTTCCTATTTTTAAGTTGTTTTCTATTTTAATTAGGTGTATTCTACGTTTTCTTGTGGATCCAATACGTCTCTCGTAGAGTAGGGGATTATCACTTGTGGATTTGAACCATTACGCTAAAGTGTATCTAATGTTTATCCAAATTTCACTGCGTTATTTGGTATGAATTTGTCTATAGTTGGAGATCTAACCTAAGCCGTTGGAGATTGAAACTTATATATCAATGGCCTTTCTTAGTTTGGCTGTAGGTTTATTGCTTAGTCTTCACCTTGGGCGTGGTATGATTATAGCAGAACGTTACGTTCTATATTTTGGACTTTGGTCATTGCACTAATTTGATAACCATTGCACTCCATTACACATGGAACTGTTATTTGTCTACTCGTGGCTTCTAAGTTGTTTGTGCTATGATTCAATGAGATTCTATCTTATACTTAAATGAGTCTTTACTGATAGATAGCTTGTGAAAGCCCCAAACTTCTAATAAATAAATTGATTGAATTTTCAGGGGAGGTGTACTTGTGTGGGATGTCATCAGAGCAAGAGGTGCCAGATGATCCAGAAACAATTTCAGGTGATCCGGAATCTATAAAGGTGCTAAAGAGGGTTGCTAGAACAGTGTCGAGTCATTTAGGGGAAGCTGAGGTGCGAGTGAAGGCAGAGCAAGCATGTTTCTTGCCATGTACAGAGGATAGCGTGCCTATAATAGGAGAAATTCCAGGTATTAAAGGTTGTTATGTGGGAACTGGACACAGTTGCTGGGGAATTTTAAATGGTCCTGCGACAGGGGCTGCTTTAGCTGAACTTGTGATGGATGGTCATTCCAGTATTGTTGATCTTACTCGGTTTAGTCCTGCAAGATTTGTTGGGCATAGAAAAAGGGTATTGACCTTATCGGGAGAAGATGAGTGATGAGAATGTTGTAACTAGTGTACGGACTTGACACCACATAGCTAAAATAAACTTCAATTTTTATTTGTATAGAAGCAATTAATAACAATTGTTGCCTTAGTTTTACCTCATTTGCTGCATAATTTTTGCATTCGCATTTGGCAAGGATGGAACATAATTAGAAAACAAATAAAAACAGCACTTGATATTAAGAGAAGTCCTTAAGAGAAGACCAAAGAGAAAAGTTTGAGATGCTGTGGCCAGAGGGATAGAAAATTCTGAGAATGTATAGTCCAGTGTCCACTTATCAGGGGCTATAATTCTCGGCCCTACCAGAAAAAGAAACTCAGCCTGCACAAAGAGGAGATTGAGCTGACCCTTATTTATTGGTCCATCACTCCATCTTGAAGAATGAAGGCTGAGATGAAAATCCCAATTGGATCAGGTTTCAGGCTTTAGGTCCTATTAATAACAAATGGGTTTTACAAGTGCAGGGATTAATAATGCAGCAGAACACACGTGACCCACTTGATTATTTTTACTTAAACAGCAGAATTTGGAATGTGTGAAGGTCATTAAATAGATGTAAGTTCTGCCATGTTCAGTTCAAGGTCCAAGATAATTCTTGATGTTGGAATATTGGATTTTAGGTTTGCATTAATGGCATTCACAGTACATCTCACTACAACCTCACTTGATTCCTTATTAAAAGTTAGACTAGAAACTAGATTCATTATAATCAGATTCTTTTAATAATTCTATTCCCATGTTTCCTTATCCCAATTGATGGACACAACTCAAGACAAATTACATGAGAAAAAAAAATACCAATAATGCTCACAAGCTGTATGAAGGAAGAGATAAACAGCAAACACGAGCCTAAGGTATGGAGAAATATTAAACATCAGCGATTGACCCGGTTGAGTCAAGAGTTATTATTGGTTGCGGACCGAGTCATGCCTTCTGATTCACGGGGCCAACTCCATTTATCGAAGCTTTATATTTATAAGCAGTTGATTTACAGATTTCGATGTCTTCCTCTTTTGGTCTGATTTTTTATTTTTTTACACTAAAAAAAAGGTTAATTAATCAGTAAGCAAAGCATGTCACGTGGTTTACAGCTGAGATTAGCTTTTTTGACGCGATTCAACTGTGATAAAGTAAGTTGGTCTTCTTAATAGTGTAAAATGGCAAGTGCCCATGAAGCAATGAGTGGAAAATCAAGCTTCAAGGAATGGCTGGAAGACAAAAGCAGCCTTCCCTTTGCCCCACCCCTCCATTGTAGACACCACACCACACATATCTTTGTATAATCGAATCTCAAAGTTCTAAATTTATGATCACTCATGTATACTTCATTTTTCACATTGTTTTGACAATGTTGTCCTAAAAAAGTTGCCTTCCAAAGTCCAACTCACTTTACTTGCTTCCAGAAATAAATGTCGGTTTTGTTATCTTAACGTCAAAGAATAATTCTACTCTTTATAATCAGTCAATCATTTTATCTTTCACTTGTTATAATTGAAATATTAATAATAATAAAAATAATACAAGAGTTAGAATTTCTTGGCTTCAAAAGCCAACATCAATACTGAGTCTTCTGTGGAGTGGACTACCCAACCAACCTGTCGAAAACTTCTACTCTCAATTCAATGCATCTGCAGAGGCATGCAAGACATAGTTATTTGATTTCCAAACCCAAATATATATATTAAATTAGGCTTAAAATATGATAGGTTAGATTTCACCTAATTTTCAGTTTAATCTTTTAAATGTTAATCAGTTGAACTTGATTTTTCATGAGTTGGGATGAAACGTGTTAATTTGTTTTAAGGAGATAATTATTGTTTTCATGTTATATAACAGTAAGTGTGAAAGTAAATGAAATGAAAACAACATAAAGGAAATAATAGAGCAAGGAAAATATGAATAGTAAAAAGTTGATCCCATTAATGTGATGACTCCAGATTAAAAAATGTGATAATAGAGTTAATTACATGAACACAATTTATTATGTTTATATCATTTAGTGGGTTTTGGTTGTTGCAGGGTGGCTATCAAGATTTCACACTGAATGATTGATGGAGATTTTGGTGTCTTTGGTTTGGCCTTTGATGAATATAATATGGGTTCATAGTACAAGTTACGTGAAAACAAAGAGGGGAGGAGCATGATCCGCTCATTGTGGGGGAAGACAAGTTCAACCAAGCCCTGCAAAATTCTCTGTTGGCTCTTACGTTTTCCCCTTTTTAACTACAGGATACTTTTTCATCCCAATTATTAATTAAATAAAACATATATTCTCTGTCGCCATCATAAATAGCTAAAAAATATATAAACCTTTTAAGGAAAATGAAAACAAGGAATTGAATTTACATGTTCAAATCAAATATTGTGTTATTGAAAGTTATATTTTTATGTTCATTAAACACATAAAACAATTGGATCCTCTCGCAGATTTTACTTTGTGATTAAGCATATCTAGTTATTGAAGCAATTAAACAAGATTTTAGAATCCAGAGCATGGACTTGTCAGGATGTATTTTTGACCTTTGTAAAAGTTTCTGAGCTAACAATGGATTACCTGATGCAATTCCCACTTCGCACCTCTCTCAAGTTGCTGTTGCCATCTTTTTGCATAAAGAAAAAGTTAGATGCTTTAGGGTTTTTTATTTCACTTTAAAGAGTGTAAAAAAAGGAGCATACAATTATTATTACAGCACAGGAGCTACTAGAAAGAAAAACTTTCCCAATTAATCTTTTGGTTATAAATTAAACACGCACAGTGAATGATCTACCAAAACCCAGATGTTTAATCTTGGATTTATTGATACAATCAAGGACGTTCACCTAATTTTTTATTGATTTAACTGCTTTACAATTAGATGAATAAAGCTGCCAAAAAATCATTTTAAAATGTAAAAAGAATGAAATGTTAAATGGATGAGATGATGCTCCCATGTGTGTACCTTGCTATGTAGCAGTACTGATGAACAAAATCCAAACAAACCCAAGTGTCAAATGGACTCAATGTCAAATATAAGAGTCAATAAAGCTACTGATTTGTACTATACTTTCAGATCACTAATGTCCAAGCGGTCCTGCTGGCCCCATTATTGTCCACCGTCAAATTGGACAGCTTTGATGCACTGGAATCATATTTGGTGCATAGTTTTTGGAACCATTTCTTCAACTGCCTGCACTTAACACGATTTCTGCGTTTGCTAAGACTTGGTTTGTGATGTGAAAAAGCTACTGGGATCGATGATTTGAAAACTTGAACAATTTCATAAACTAAAATATCCTTTGTCTTGAGAAGAAGTGAAAATATGCATCTAACGCTACCATTTTGAAGAGGGTTTTACGTGTATTAAATTCAAATTTTCAAAAGAATCCCAGATGTGCAGTATACAGAAGCATGCATAGCTTTACCTGAAAAAATCCAAACCTGGCTCCTGGTGAATTTTGAATAACTTTACCCATAATAAATATTTCAGTTGACTCCACATCATTAAACTAACTAGGACACCAATAATGCAGATTAAAGAGTGACATGCTCATTGCTGGGCCATGGTGAGATTAAGCTCTTAGAATTTCCAAATATCCGCCACTCATTTTCATGGGTTTCATTTATCAGTTTCAAAGAGAGGGAGGGAGATACCAAAAGAGTACCAAGCTATCTGACAGTGATAATTGAAAGGGAGAAGCAATCAATGAATCAACACAAAAAATTGTTCACTTGTTTTTTTCAATAATGATTCAGTGACGAGATGGTTTTTGGACCCTCTTGGGAGTTGGGACCCTCACAAAATAATGCTACCGCTGAATAATGATACTATTTATTCATCAGAGGTCTCTTATGGTAAATTTCCTTTTCACACTTCCTGCGAGAAATGAAAATGTAACGTTTAGTTCACGGAAGTTACAATTTGGCGTTGAATTTTATCCCTTTGTACTTTCTACCTGTTTCATCTATTATCCCAAGGCACTCAAATTTTGCATAAACTTTGAATTCTTTTGCGTACAAATCCAAAATATGGGTGGGATTGGATTAAAATATGGGTTAAGTATAAAATATGAAAATGGAGCATTATCTTCTGATTTTAAGAATTGAGTTAACCACTTTTTCAATCCAAATAATAATTTGATGACACTTTTATCATTTTATTATTTAAAATTATATTTTAATAATAAATAAAAAGTAAATTTGATCTAAATTATTGAGATTTTTTGAAAAGAGGAGACCAATGAGTCTTTTAGTGATGAAAGATTGAATTTTGATGATTAAGATTTATCAAAATTTTACTCTAATCGCTCGATTGTCGGCTATTAACAGAGTTAATAAAAGTAGGGTTTAAGAGATTTTAATAAGTGATGATCAAGGATCGCAACGATATCAAAATCGAAATTAAAATATAAATTTTAATAATAAAATAATATTTTAAAAGTTTATAAGTAAAAAATTTGTCATTAACCCATTATTTGGTAGGAAAAAGTCCTTTACTCTTAAGAATTAAGCATCCTTAATTTCGTATTAATTAATAATTAATTAAAGGTGATAAATATGAATCAGGTAAGTCATTCGGATCACATATAATTCTTAAATATTTATCTCGAACTTTACAAAGTCTTACCTGTTGGCTAGAGTCTAGACCGGTAAACACTCCCAAACCACCAATACGAAATAAAACTACTTTAATCTACATTACGAAAACGAAGAGATAGTGAATAAATATAATAATACAGAAAATAAATAAATAAACCATGGCTTATAAAAGTCAATCTAAGATATGACTGTAACTTCCGGACTTCATCTTGGTGTCTTGTAGCAAAGATGCTATTCGCAGCACATTTCCTTGTTTCTTAAATGTTTAGCGAAATAGAAGTAACGGTGAGAAATCATTTAATCATTTTCTTTGTAGAACCTCAATTTATATATTGCTGCAGACCTGCCACACAGCATTTTGTTATCAACAAGTTTAGGTTTGGTGAGCTGTGTCTTCCATTTCTCTGCACTTCAATTATTTTTTTATTTAATAACTTACCTTCACAGATGGCATCTCAACCATCATAAATCTCACTTACTATCTCTCTCTCTCTCTCTCTCTCTTGTTTTTTCACAGACGAGATGTGGTTCCAGTTTGAGGAGTCATGAGCTCTTCTAGTGTTAGTTTTAGTTTCCATTTATGGTGGAGATTTCTTTTTGTTCTTGTATTTACATTTTCTGTTGTTGCTAAATCTCTTGAGCTAAACCCAGATGGTGTTCTCTTGCTTTCTTTTAAGTACTCGGTCCTCAGAGATCCTCTTCACGTTCTGGACAGCTGGAACTTCAACGATGAAACTCCATGTTCCTGGTATGGAGTTACATGTACATCTCCAGGAAGGGGAAACTCATACTACTCTCGTGTGACAAGCTTGTCCCTTCCAAACTCTCAGCTTCATGGTTACATCCCGGCCGATCTGGGCATGATAGAATACCTTGAAAATCTTGATCTATCCAACAATTCTTTAAATGGGTCTCTTCCTTTCTCACTTTTCAATGCGACCCAGCTTCGTTTTCTGGATTTGTCAAGTAACGTGATCTCTGGTCAGTTACCGGAGTCAATGGGACGGTTACAAAATCTTCAATTTCTTAACCTTTCTGATAATTCCTTGGCGGGAAAGCTACCTGCCATTCTCACTACTTTGCAAAATCTAACTGTTGTTTCTTTGAGAAATAATTACTTCTCTGATAGTCTTCCTAGTGGATTCAGCTCTGTTCAAGTTCTAGATCTATCTTCAAATCTATTCAACGGATCTTTGCCTCCTGATTTTGGAGGTAACAATCTTCGTTATATGAACCTCTCTCACAATAACATTTCAGGAGAAATTCCACCAGAATTCGCAGAGAAAATTCCAGGTAATGCTACAATTGACTTCTCATTCAACAATCTTACCGGAGAAATCCCAGAATCCAGTGTTTTTACGAAGCAAGAAAGGAGTTCATTTTCTGGAAACTCCGATCTGTGTGGTGAGCCAACTAAAAATCCGTGTCCAATCCCTTCTTCACAATCTTCTCTTCATAATGACTCTGCGCCAACTTCTCCTCCTGCAATTGCAGCAATTCCCAAAACCGTAGACTCAAACCACGGCTCCGTCCCCACTGGGTCTGACCAAGGCCCAAAAGGGCTCAGACCAGGAACCATAATAGGAATTGTCTTTGGAGATGTTGCAGGAATTATAATCCTAGCTTTGGCGTTCTTTTATGTGTACCGGGTAATAAGAAAGAAGAACGTTGAGTCTACACTGAAGAAAGAAGCAACTGCAGCTAAAGATACATTGTCATTGTCTTCATCTTCATCATCAGAGTCAAAAGGGTTCACAAGATGGTCATGTTTACGTAACAGAGGCAACGACGACGAGGAAGATTCAGATACCTCAGTTTCTGATACAGAGGAAAACCGAAGTGGTCGAAAAAGTCTGGACACTCAACGGCAGCAATTGCATGATCAGAACAAGAAAGGGACACTGGTAACCTTAGATGGAGACAAAGAACTAGAGCTCGAGACTTTACTCAAAGCTTCGGCTTATATACTTGGAGCTTCTGGTTCCAGTATAATGTACAAGGCAGTTCTTGAAGACGGGACAACATTTGCAGTTCGCAGAATTGGTGAGAGTAGTGTTGACCGGTTCAGGGATTTCGAAACCCAGGTCCGAGTCATAGCTAAACTGGTGCACCCCAATCTGGTTCGTATACGCGGATTCTACTGGGGAGTTGATGAGAAGCTTATTATTTATGATTTTGTCCCAAATGGCAGCCTAGCCAATGCTCGTTACAGTAAGTCCCGATTTTTATTTTTATCTTTTTCTCCTTTTGGTCTTGTGTGCGCAAGTTAAAAGATAACTATTTGTATTTGCTAACATGCGCTGGGACTGATATTTGACGGTGGAGTAGTTGCAACCGACACCTTGTTTTAATGCATGGGGAAGTCAACTGTCTGGGGCGTTTCGCTATCGTTATCGTCACGGCGTTTGATAGCGTTATACTTGCCCCACAATTATACAACACATCAAACTGATAACCTCCCTTTGAAAACGATTTGACCATTTTCCCATTTTACGGTCCTTTGCTAAATTGCGGCACGTCGATAGATACATATATACTACCGCCTCCAAATTAGATAATGCTGATTTTAGACTCTGGATTTTTCAGGAAAAGTTGGCTCATCTCCTTGTCATCTACCATGGGAGGCCCGGCTTAAGATAGCCAAAGGAGTGGCCCGTGGGCTGGCCTTCCTCCATGAGAAGAAGCATGTGCACGGAAATTTAAAGCCTGGAAACATTCTCTTGGGTGGCGATATGGAACCCAGAATTGGAGATTTCGGGCTTGAAAGGCTTGTAACGGGTGACACAAGCTACAAAGCAGGAGGATCAGCCCGAAATTTTGGAAGCAAGAGGTCTACGGCTTCGCGCGATAGCTTCCAAGATCTTGGGCCAGGGCTGAGCCCGAGCCCGAGCCCAAGTTCATTAGGGGGCATATCTCCTTATTATGCACCTGAGTCGCTGAGGAGCCTGAAGCCAAATCCAAAGTGGGATGTGTACTCATTCGGGGTTATATTGCTTGAGCTACTAAGTGGGAAGGTTATAATCGTAGATGAGTTAGGGCAAGGAAATGGGGTTGTGGTGGAAGATAAGAACCGGGCTTTGAGGCTGGCGGACATGGCGATACGGGGTGATTTAGAGGGCAAAGAGGAGGCCTTGTTGTCTTGCTTCAAGCTAGGTTACAATTGTGCATCTCCTATTCCACAAAAGAGACCATCAATGAAAGAAGCACTTCAAGTTCTTGACAAATTCCCGTCTTCATCTTCACCTTCACCATACTATTATGGTCACTAATGAAATAAGCATAAATTTGAAGGCTTTTGTAGAGAATTATGTATGTATTATTGACTGATAGATCTTTGTGTTGGTCAAGGTTTGGATTGTAACTGAGTTGAGTTCAGGAGTAGAGCTTGTTGTTTAACACTAATTTTCATTTTTCTATTTTGGACTTAGCTCATGTCATTTTCAATTACAAAGATGAGAAAATCTCCGGCTATTATTATTTGTTGTTAATCATCTTTGTTGCTTGGCTTGTCTTTCCAGAGTCTATTTCTAGTGCATTGTGAATGCTGATTAATTCTCTTCCTATGTTCATTTTTATTGACTTTAAATTGAACCAATAGATTTTCAATGTCAAATTGGTTGTTTATTTACAAATTTATCTAGTCTAGTATTTAAATGACAAATTTGGCAAATTAAAAAGGGTAAACGACTTTTTCTCACCTAAATAATGGCTTTCTCACGTATAGACTTTTAAAATATCACTTTATTACTCAAAATTATATTCCGTTTTCGATTTCGGCATCGTTGTGACCTCACACCACCACGATTCTCTTCTCCGATTATTACTCATCAAAACCCTTCAAACCCAACTCCTACCGACCTCGCCTAAGGGTGTTCAAAAGCGGTTAACCAAACCGGTTAACCACTTTTTTGAGCCGAACCAGTTTGGAAAAAAAAAAAACCGATTTTTCGATTAACCGAAAAACCAATTAACCGTTTTCAAAAAAGCGGTTAACCGGTTTTCCCTTTTTTTTTATAAAACTTTTATTTTTTTTATTGTTTCCTAAATTAAATTGTAAATATAAATAATACATATCCAAATAAAAATTAAATATTCATACATATCTATTGACCATCACTAACAATAGATTAAAAATATTATTATTTTTTATTTAATATATAGTATAATATATTATTTTTATTTTTATTTAATATATAATATATATATATTTGTAAAACCAGTTTCGGTTAACCGCTTTTTACTTTTTCCCGAACCGGTAACCGAACCGAAAATTCAGTTTTTTGAATTTTTTGAACCGTAACCGAACCGTTTTTTCGGTTAACCGGTTTTTCGGTTCGGTTCGATTTTTGTATTTTTTTGAACACCCCTAACCTCGCCAATTGCTAGTAATCGAGCGATTAGGGTTTTCACAGCCACCCCTCTAAGTCATATTTTGATTAATGTCAACCACCAAAATCCAATATTCCACCACCAAAAGACTCATCGGACTCTCATTTTCAAAAGCTTCAATAGTGTAAACTGAGTTTGCTTTCTATTAGCTGTTGGAATATAAATTTAGGTAATGAATTGATATTTTAAAAATACGTGAGTGAAAAAATATCATTAAGCTATTATTTAGGCGTGAAAAAGTTATTAACTCAATTAAAAATTAAAAACTGTGGAGGAATTTATGTAACTATTACCTATTTTTGCTGTGTCTTGTGCTTGAGTTGGTGTGCATGTGTTGGATAATGGCATTCTGAGATGGGACAATATACGAAAGCAATCAATAATGAAGTTAAATAAGGTCCCATTTTATTAAAATATAATTGACAATAGAATGGAAATAAAAAAGGACAAAAATGTTGTATTTTATGATGAGTAACTATCATTGTCACACTGATCAATGATATATCAGGTTTTATTTGGATTTGGCAATATGCTAATGTGTGATTGAATGTTTGTGCCAGATGAGACGGTTAAATAATTGAACTCACATGACGTTATGGGTGCATTTGATTCAGAAAATATTAGATTACTGAAAGTTAGATTACCTTAAAGAATATTAAGAATTTTTAAGAAAATATATTTGATTAGTTAAAATAAATTGGTAGGTACCTTATATTAATATGTTTGATTGAGAGGAATAAATTGGTAGGTATATTATTTAAATTACTAAATTACCCTCTTTTTAAATATTAATATACTATTATTTTTATTATTAATTTTTGTAACCCCAACATTTTAGATTTAGCTAAAACACCCTAACTTATATAAAAACTTTAATTTATAACGAAATAACCCCCACCACCCCAAGCCACTGCCAACCACCACCAGCCGTCGCCAGAGTCTCTAAAAATGGCTGAGAGTCGTTGGGAAGCTTCAGGAGGCTCTGCTATGGCCATTTCCAGCCATATTGATGGCAAAAAAGGGCCTTAATGGAGTAGGTTTGGCTATTAACTGCCATATCCATCGATCTGGCCGAAAATGGCCAGATCTACTCCATTATAGTCATTTTCGACCATCAATATGGCCAGAAATGACCATAGCGGAGCATCCTGGAGCTTCCCAACGACTCTCAACTATTTTTAGTGACTCCAGCGACTTTCAGCGGTGGTTGACCAGCTACTGGCAATGGTAGCTGGGTGGCAGTGGTGGTCTGTAATTTGTTTTAAATATAAGGGTATTATTGTCCAAAAACTTAATTAAACAAGGGTAAAATTGTAATGATGGATTAATGTAAATTGATTTTAAAACAGGGGCATTATTGTCCAAACTTTTTTATTAATAAAGGATAAAATTGTAACAAAAATAAGATAACCAAATAATTTTAGAATACCTAAGAAAATTGAGGTAATCAGATTACCTCCAATATTACCAATAGTAACTACTATTGATATTGGAAGATTACTAGAATCTTATATTACTTGACAATCAAACGTGATAATCAAGTAATGTAAGATGATATAACCTCAATAATCCCATATAACCCCCAACCAAACGCCCCTATATTAATAATCCATGGTCCAAGTAAGTTGAAGTCTTTTTCATAAGAGGTTGGGGGTCCTTTTAAGTCTTACCCCAGTGATTTTGTTGGGATTCATCATAATGATTTGATGGACTCTTTCACTAACAATTCTGCTTATCATAAACATATTTGTGAGTTTAAACTACATATATCATAAATTATTATATAATAATTCACAATTTGGTTATCGCATTTGTAATAAACAATTTAGGATTTGGGATTGGTTTCTTTTAAGTTTCAATATTCCATTAAAAAAAAAAAAAAAAAATGTTATNTGCATGTGTTGGACAATGGCATTATGAAATGGGCCCAATATACGAAAGCAATCAATAATTAAATTAAATAAGGTCCAATTTTATGAAAATATAATTGACAATAGAATGGAATAAAAAAGGACAAAAATGTTGTATTTTATGATGAGTAACTATCATTGTCACACTGATCAATGATGTATCAGGTTTTATTTGGATTTGGCAATATGCTAATGTGTGATTGAATGTTTGTGCCAGATGAGACGGTTAAATAATTGAACTCACATTTCATTTAGGAAATGTTAGATTACTAGAAATTAGATTACGAAGGCCGAAAATTTTTAAAAAAATATATTTAATTAGTTGAAATAAATTGATGGATATGTTATATTAATATGTTTGATTGGGAGGAATAAATTGGTAGATATATTATTTAAATTACTAAATTACTCTCTTTTTAAATATTAATATAATATTATTTTTATTATTAATTTTTGTAACCCCAACATTTTAGATTTAGCTAAAACACCTCAGCTTATATAAAAACTTTAATTTCTAACGAAATAACCCCCACCACTGCCAACCACCACCAGCCGTCATCAGAGTCTCTAAAAATGGTCGAGAGTCGCTGGGAAGCTTCGGGAGGCTCCGCTATGGCCATTTCTGGCCATATTGATGGCAAAAAACAGCCATAATGGAGTAGGTTTGGCCGTTAACTGTCATATCCATCAATCTGGCAAAAAATAGCTATAATAGATAAGGCCATTTTCGACCAGATCTACTCCATTATAGTCATTTTCAGCCATCAATATGGCCAGAAACGGCCATAGTGGAGCCTTCTGGAGCTTTCCAACGACTCTCGACTATTTTTAGTGACTCCTGCGACTTTCCAGCGGTGGTTGACCAGCTGCTGGCAATGGTAGCTGGGTGGCAATGGTGATCTGTAATTTGTTTTAAATATAAGGGTATTATTGTCTAAAAACTTAATTAAACAAGGGTAAAATTGTAATGATAGATTAATGTAAATTAATTTTAAAACAGGGGCATTATTGTCCAAATTTTTTTATTAATAAGTGATAAAATTGTAACAAAAATAAGATAACCAAATAATCTTATAATATCTAAGAAAATGAAAATAATTAGATTACCTCCAATATTACCAACAGTAACTAATATTAATATTGGAAGATTACCGGAATCTTATATTACTTGACAACCAAACGTGGTAATCAAGTAATGTAAGATGACATAATCCCAATAATCCCATAAAACTCCCAACCAAACGCCGCCTATATTAATAATCCATGGCCCAAGTTGAAGTCTTTTTCATAAGAGGTTGAGGGTCCTTTTAAGTCTTACCCCAGTAATTTTGTTGGGATTCATCATATGATTTGATGGACTCTTTAACCAACAATTCTGCTTATCATAAACATATTTGTGAGTTTAAACTACATATATCATAAATTATTATATAATAATTCACAATTTGGTTATCGCATTTGTGATAAACAATTTAGGATTTGGGATTGGTTTCTTTTAAGTTTCAATATTCCATAAAAAAAAAATAATAATAATAATAATAATAATAATTAACCATCACAGTTTTAAGAAGTTGAGGCTAAAGGATTAAAAGTAATGACCTCATCTCCTTTTGATGTGGAAAGGTAGATGATTGATTTAATTAATGCACGGTAGGTGTTTGATGGAAAAAGTGGTTGTTGGACAAGTGTTTGGGTTAAAACAGAGAAGAGAATGTCGCTGAGAAAGAGTGAGAGGGAACCCTGATCGGCCGATCCTAATTCACTTAAAATCCATTCAACTACAAAACAGTTGGTCGTTAAAGTTGAAAAGCTATAGTAATAGGCTCTTTGCTCAAATAATGCTAGAGTATTTTTAAATTTTTGAATGATATTTGCATACTGATTTATTATTATTATTATTATTATTATTATTTTAAGAATTAATCACTTCACCGATATAAAAAAAAAAAAAAAAAAAAACTGATTATGAGAATTATAAATGTTTAAAAACTTTCTTTTAGATAAGGTTGACAAAATTGTTCTTCATAAGTGATTTACATTTATGTAAAATATTGTATAAGAAAATAAAATAATTTTATATATTATAATTTAATGATTAATTCATATATATAAAAAACAGAGCTACCATATTTACCAATTATTGGAATTTATATACTCTTTTGAAACCATAGGAATAAGGAAAAAAGAATCAAGATATTGGGCCGTTATGAGGCCTATAGAGCATATGAACTGGACATCCAAACCCAATACTTAATAAGAGGAGCGGCGACCGCACCACTTTTGGCCAGACAATACTAATTTTGAATTGAAAAAGTCCCGCTCTTCACTCATTTTAAATCCCCCCTTCTTTCTCTCTCTCCTTCTCTCTAGAACTAAAGAGCCGTTAGAGAGAAAGCAAAGAAATACACAGACCATATTCACACACAGAAGGAGAGACAAACACAAACAATGGCGACAAATATCGGCATGATGGATTCGGCTTACTTTGTTGGTAGATCGGAGATTCTCTCTTGGATCAACTCCACTCTTCGACTCAACCTCTCCAAAGTCGAAGAGGTTTTATTTATTTTTATCTTCAATTTCTAACCCTAATTTCTTTTCTATTATTTTCTGTTATCGAGAAAAAAAAGTTTATTTGGATCTTTGAATTGAAATTGCAGGCATGTTCCGGTGCGGTTCATTGCCAACTGATGGATGCGGTTCATCCAGGGATGGTCCCCATGCACAAAGTCAACTTTGATGCCAAGAACGAGTACGAGATGATTCAAAACTACAAGGTCCTTCAAGATGTCTTCAACAAGCTTAAGATCACCAAGGTTTAGTTTAATTTCACGTTCTTGTAGTTTCTTTATTTATTTATTTTAGATCTGTAAATTTGCACCTTGTATTCCAATTTTCAGATGCATTAATCGATTACTGTGTTATTTAATCTTCAAAATTATATGTTAAATTTTATAATTTTATTCTGTGTCTGAATTTAGCATATTGAGGTGAGCAAGCTGGTTAAAGGAAGGCCGCTTGATAACTTGGAATTCATGCAGTGGATGAAGAGGTACTGCGACTCTCTTAACGGAGGCCTTATGCATAGGTAAATTCCTTTTTATCCTAATTTTTAATTACCGTTAGGACTATGTTTATTTCAATAAAATCCTTGTTTCTTGTAACATTATGACCAAAAATTGAAACAGGATATAAGTTTGATTAATTCTGGCACCAGAACGCATATGAGTTTTGATTTCTCAGCAGTTTTTAATTTGGTACCTCTATCATGCTGTTACAGTGCGAATTTAAACATTGATTCCATAAGTTTGATAAAATTTCCATCGAGCAATCTATAAGTAGTTACAGAACATAATGTCGTCATGCATTGTGGTTATAATGGAATTTTGCTCTTTCTTCTGTCCTTTGAAATATTTGATTAGTTTGAATCTGTTAGAAATTGAATTAGTGTTATTCTGTTCTGCCATTAAATATAAATTGGAATTTTCTTTTCCAATCAGGGGATCTATTATAATTTCTCGATGGGGTGGGTGAAAATTATATAAAAAAAATAATGTTTTTAGTTCTCAATTTGTACTTGCTTTTAGAGTTTTGACAATTGTGGCTGTTTTTCTCTTGAAAATTAAGATTAATCTGGAATGAAGCAGTGTAAATGTAACTGTTCCGATAATTTTATTTTTATCGTTTTCCAATATTTATTAGTAGACCAAAGTTCTAGGATCCTTGTAAATGAATCATTTCTTTTTGATGATTGGGCAATGTATAAGTGAATATTTTTGCGACATATTGTTAGTTATAACCCATTGGAAAGGAGAGAAGCTAGCAAAGGAGGGAAGGAAGTAAGCAAGAAATCTGCAGCATCACACTCTACAGCCAAAGGTTCGACAGCGGCTTCAAAAGCTCAGTCCTCACACAATGCAAGAAGGAATGATGCATCCTCTGCAAACCCTACAAATCAAGCAATTAAGGCTTCAAAACCTTCTGTTGCAGTGCCAGCATATGATGAACAGGTAGATATTGCATGTAAATGGGAGTAGAGGATGGTTTTTTTTGGGTTAACAATATTGAGAGTCTAATACCACTTCTCATATGCAGATCACAGAGTTGAAGCTGTCAGTGGATAGCCTTGAGAAAGAGAGGGACTTCTACTTTGCAAAGTTGAGAGATATCGAAATTTTGTGTCAGAGTCCTGAGTTTGAACGCTTGCCTGTAAAGTTTTCCTGTCTATATCTTTTATGGTGTTGGAATGTCATAGTAATATGTGAATTACTGGTTAACATGATGTGCTAATCACCTGTTACTTGTTTTGTTTACAGATTGTATTAGCAATTCAAAGGATTCTGTATGCTACAGATGATGATGCATCGGTGGTGGCAGATGCTCAAGCCATGTTGTCTCAGCAAGAGAAGGAAGCAGAACCATTGAGTCCCATTGCCGAGGCATCAGAAGAGAAAGCAAGTTCAGATACTCAGAAGAGGAAAAACATTGTGAATCTTGATGTTGATGCTGTTGGCATCTCAAACTTGTCTCCAAGGCAACGGCTTTCTGATGTTTCTGATGTCCATTGCAGTGGGTCACCTCTTATGACCTACTGATGAACTCAAATTTTAGGGATTAAAAACGCAGTTTTACCTACAATATCATGCTTTTGATCTTAGGGAATATTTCTATTAGAGAGTATGCTTCTTATACAATAGTGTAAAACCTTTCAATAAAATTCTGTATGTACTTCTGCTTTTCTATTATTGTGTTTGATTTGTAAAATTTTTTGAGAACTCCAACTCTCCGGTGCTGATTTTCAGTTTCTGGTCCATTTTTCATGCTCTATCTGACATTGGTTTTTAGTTATAGTTGGAGAATTTAATATTATTGGCTTTTTTATGTTGCATTGGTAGCCCTCGAATCTTGATTGAACCGAGAAATGTTGTCTTTGGTTAAGAGAAATCCATATGGAAAAAAAATACACCAGGGAATAGTAGAAATCTGTGAACTGCTTTCTCAAAATAGGGTGACATGTGGAGGTGTTAGCATTGTATCAGGGCCTTCACCTGTGGCTAAGTTATAGTCCTTTGAAGACTAAGCAACCAGCCATTGACAACAAAAGAAGGGATTTATCTCACTGTTTTAACATCTAACATAAATTATTGAACAATTTACTAAAATCCGTGTTGATCTCTGTAACGGTGTAACATGAATTCAGAAACTAGGAGGGTAACTTCTTAATATCTCTCAAATAAGTTGCATTGATGATGCTGATTTCATGTATGATTTTGTATTTTATTTTCATTACAGGAGGTTGAAACTACAAATCCGCAAGGTGTAGTTGAGCGAAGGGTGGAAACCATTAATTATGAGTCTTCAGCGGGGCAAGGGCAACAGGTGAAGAGTGTAGATGTGGTTCACCAGCCCCATACCCAGAAGAGTCCCAACACCAGTGGTGGTGTCTTGGCGGGGGCCGCTGCCGCCGTGGAATCCACTCTCCAATCGGCCAAGGAAGCCATCTCAAGATAAATGAATGCTTACCCTTCCCAATTACAAATGATTTTTTATTTTTTTCTTACTTGAGAATCTCTTCTCGAATGTTTTTGACAGTGTACTATTTAGTTAATAGATCATTGCTTTTGTTTTGTATTTTCATCATAAAATTTATNATACCCAGAAGAGTCCCAACACCAGTGGTGGTGTCTTGGCGGGGGCCGCTGCCGCCGTGGAATCCACTCTCCAATCGGCCAAGGAAGCCATCTCAAGATAAATGAATGCTTACCCTTCCCAATTACAAATGATTTTTTATTTTTTTCTTACTTGAGAATCTCTTCTCGAATGTTTTTGACAGTGTACTATTTAGTTCATAGATCATTGCTTTTGTTTTGTATTTTCATCATAAAATTTATAAAATTACACATATGAAACGCCAATAATCGAAAGGCCTGCGTCAGTCTCCTAGTTTGATTTTTAAATAACATATACATTATTTTTATTTTTCTGTGACTGGAAGTATTTGAGTTAGTTTACGCGTATCTCAATTAATCGCTTGAGACTTTAAAACTATCGGTCGGGTAAGAGTTCCAGTGAGTACTCTTATTAGCAAACGAGACTGGACTCAAACTCAGAACCTTTTGAATAATACATTTAAAAACTCCTATCGAACCACTTGACTACTCAGAAGTAGTTAACGTATGCAATTTTTTTTCTTCATAATTTTCAACTTGAGCCAACAGTTTATTGCGGATTTAGAATGTAGAAACTTTAAGAGCAAATTTGCCTTTAAGAAAAAATTCCATGAGATGAAGACTAGAGTTTTGCATCACAAATATCAACAGCATAACGTGCACCAAGATTGATATTAACTTGACACAAGTTGAGCTAAGATTCGTATGGGACCAATTGGAATTTTCTTTCTAGCTCAACTTGGTAGCAAGAAAAGAATCACAGGCGTTTGTATCTGAGTGGCTACAGCTTTAGAAATTGCCACCACCGAAAGTATAAGAACAAAGTTTGTGAACTTTATTCTTCAACAAACCTCATCCGAATCCTATTCTCACACAGTTTTTGCTTTAATAAGATCATATAATATGCAGAGAATGAAGGTTTGTTTTTGCTTCCCTACTTTGGTTTTGTCATCCCAGTTTCCAAGGTCTGTTAAATTAACCAAGTTTATTAATTTATAAAAAGAAAAAAGAAAATGATTTATAGTTTGGTACTGATATGATATTGTGGATGAAGGAATTATAGGAAAGAATGGGTATGGCAATAACAAGACTGGTGAAATCGCTATTTGCGAGGAAAGAAATGAGAATTCTGATGGTGGGTCTTGATGCTGCTGGAAAAACAACCATTCTTTACAAGCTTAAACTTGGAGAGATTGTTACTACCATTCCCACCATTGGTAATTATTTCCTTTATCTATTTCTCTCATTAGTTATCTTTTAAATTATTAAATTATTATTTGATTGATGTTTGAGTAACCAGGATTCAATGTGGAAACCGTTGAGTACAAAAATGTTAGCTTCACAGTCTGGGATGTGGGAGGACAAGACAAGGTACAGTATCTATCGTTATATTTGTATATAATAATAGTGATGTATTCGTGTTTGTCCATAAAATTAACCAAATTAATGAGAGATTTTTTTTTTTTTTTTTTTGTTTTAATAATGTCTGTCCAAGTAGATAAGACCACTGTGGAGACATTATTTTCAGAATACACAGGGTCTTATATTTGTGGTGGACAGTAACGACAGAGAAAGAATTACAGAGGCCAAAGATGAACTCCATAGGATGCTCAGTGAGGTCAATTTTCCAAACTTCATTTTATTTTCAACTTTTCACATTACAGTTTAATACATTTCTACAGGGTATCAAAATGAGAATCAGTTGTGTCTCATATACTGATCAAATTATATATTTGAACTTAATGGTCATGCTACAGGATGAACTACGTGACGCCACTCTGCTTGTATTTGCCAACAAGCAAGACCTCCCAAATGCCCTCACTGTTTCAGAAATCACTGATAAACTTGGCCTCCACTCACTTCGCCAGCGCCGTTGGTAAAATTAAAATAGAACTTCAATTTTCCAGAGAAACAGATAGAGAAAATTGCAGTGTTTCAATATTTTGTTAGTTTAATTTATAGGGACCAGAAAAGATGGTTCAAAATTTGATTATCATATGTTATGACTTTGTTCTGATTAGTGGCATTTGAAAAATGAGTTGTGCAGGTACATTCAGGCTACTTGTGCCACATCTGGGCAAGGGCTCTATGAAGGTCTTGATTGGCTATCTAGCAATATCTCTACTAAGGCAACATTCTTTCCTTTCTTCAAACTTTGGGCCTTGATTGTTGCTCTGCTCAAGTATTTCTAAATTTTTTACATTTAAATGCAGGCCTAATTTGCAATTGCAGCAATAAAGGTCAGATTATCTGAAGAAAAAGACCTTTATAATTTCATAACATGTGAGAAGAGCATGAATACGACATTAAAAGCTTTAAAATTTTGAGACATTTACTACTGTGATAATGTACTAGTATATAATATATAATGTTTTGTATTACAATATGAAAGAATGACTTTTCGGATATATATATTTATTGATGAAAACTACTTATTTCATGTCATTAATACCCATTTGGGTTGAAAAGAAACTGAGAAGAAGAAACAAGTACGATAAATATGCATCATTTTCCATCTCTTAGCTGTATCTCTTCTACCCTATTAATTATAAACGCAGAATGACTTCTGAGTCTTCATCTACTCTTCTCTTTTCCCTTTATGTGCGACCAAACATTAAGGAATTCACAGTCCACACTCTCAACAAATACATAAAGCCAATTAATGCCAATTTTACAACTTCAGTATTGGAAATAACAATAGCCAGTAGGGGACATATCCAAGTTAATAGTTTTGATTTAGGTATCGAGTGAAATTGCAGAAGGGTTTCTTCACTATAATTTGACCATTGACTGCCGTAACTGACAGAAGTTAAGGTAGTCGGGACAAAGCTACGGTGATTTAATTTAATTCTAGTAAAGATTTACTGCATAAATTTATCATTTAGAATGAATGAAGTTTGAATTTATCTCTTGAAGAGATTTGTTGATGCGATAATTTAGACCAATCAGAGATACCCAATTAGTCTCGAAAGGGATTAAACAAGATATGTGCATGATTATTGGTAACCACGTGAGAGGATTATTGCCATCAGCCTTCGGCACATCTGTGACACACATATGATTGTTAAGGAATTAGGTACAAGAAGGTTAAATTCCTAAAGACATCAAATTAAAAATATTTATGTGAATAAATCATTATAGTAATTTTATAAAAGGTTTAATTAATATGAAAAGTAGTGTTAAAAGTCATTTGTAATTACTTATAGCATAAGAAGGACAAGTATTGCTTAATATTGAGAATGTAAAAAAATAGGCATGAGATTAACATGTGAAAAGGACAGTCTTCCTTTTGCAATGATAATTTCAAAAAGAGCATTAAATAATGGATGTAACATGTGCATCCAGTCCAAAATAGTGTCACATTTCCAAATTTATTGATGAACTGCATTTTTGTTGGAGTCCAACAACCTTATTGTATACCGCCATTCAATTCTCAATCTGAGTCTAATTAATTCTACTGTTGACTATGATTTAAAACTTAATTATGATCTCAAAGTTAGGTGGGTGTCGGGATCTCATTCCTACGTTCTGCTTTTCAACCAGTTGTTCTCATAAGTCGTAACACAGGCCCGGAAATTCTTTATTTCTCATACAACTTCAACAAACTATGTCTCTTGGAATTTTTTTAATATAATTTCTGGTTAAAGTTCTCGCTTAATTGAGTTTAGAGAGGGAAAAAAATATTTTGATTTTGTTATTTCCTTTCTCCATATCAAATTATCAACACCAGATTGGACATTTCCCGACAAGGGGTGACAGCAATGAGCTAAAACAAAGCAGGTGTTTTCACTATTTCTATTTGATGGAGATAATGTATTTGATTATTGATTGTACACTATTTGCAGGGATTTGTCATCTTGTCCGAATTGAATATTTATTAAGTTGGGTAGGAACATTAATTAGATAAACAGTAGAAGCTTTTTTAGCTGGGCTGTCATCCATTTTATAGTATTTCCAGGGCAAAGTCTGAGGGTAATATATTTGCTACAGAATTTCAACTTATATGAAAGAAGAAAAATAACTGGTATCTGTAAAGACATTGAATTTATTGGTCTTTGTGTTACCAATGCGAAGGCTTGTCAGACTTTGAAATGATATGAAGACAAAACTAAAATTTATTTTAATACTTTATCACACGAAAACAGGTGAAAATTAAATCAGATTTTATTGGCTTATTTCCTTGAGAGTGCAAAGATTCGAGGAAACTGGGATGACTAGAAGTGTCTAAAATCTCTCTTTCTGATCAACAATCTGAACAATACTATTTGAGAATCAGTTTTAGAGAAGAAACAAGAGAGTTTTGTCAATTTCCTACCCAAATTATTAAAAGACAAGCTTTATAGCTGTTTACAACCACTTCAATTCTGTTGTTTCACATGTGCACTACTTACTCTCTTGTTTATATTATCAAACTTTGACCTATTCTGTATGCAAATTCCAATCTTAGCTTTCTCATTTCCATTTCACTTTAGGCCTCTTCTTCTTAAGGCTTGTGAAGACAGAGGAATTACATAAGATAGACAAACAGCTTCCTTTTTTCATGTCTTGTTTAATTGTTACATTCCTCAATGGTTAAATCAATGGATTTTACCAATGATTAGAAGAAGCCTTTTTTGGAGGGTACTGAGTTTATTTACTTGATACATGCCATGGAAATGTAAGTTTTAAAAGCTGAAACTGTAGCTCTGATGTTACAGATTTATATTTTTTTCATACGTTTAAGAAGCAATACTGGAAAAAATTCAGATACAGGGTAGTAATTAACTTGGAGTTAAATTTAACATACTTTCAGGGTTCATAATTGCACATGCCAAAGTGGAGAACTGGGGTGTGGAGATTATTAAATACTTTTCTACAGCAAATAAGGTAATGTGGTACATGGCTTCTGCGTGGCACACCAGGAAAAATTTGGGTAGAGAACAAAACATTTCCCAGATGTGTATAAATACTTTGCAGCTCATTTATTCACAAGTTAGTTCATTGAACCAAATGAAAATCCAGATTACTATTAAAATCAGTACTAGTAAACAACATTTAATAGCAAGTAATTATTATGTGATTCCAGAGTTATTATTGGTCGGCCCACAGCCTTAGCTGTTGCTTTTAACTAATATCTTAAATCTGATAATTAAAATACATCATGAGATTAATGTCAAACCATAACTTACTTACAAAAGCAGAAACAGGTCCATAAAAATTTACAACATTTAATAGTCATTATTGTTTTTCTAGTACCATATCTCCACGTATTGATATCTCTTTCAGAATATAAACAGAACTCTTGCCTTGTTGACTTCTATTGTAATCAATATTTTCCTGTATAACTTTTGATACAGGACATTCCCACAAAACAAATTTATCTGATGGGATTGTGAATAATTCAAAGAATGAGAAGCCCCTACTTGAGATCTCTGTTTTAAAAATCGGACCGAACCGACTAGTCTAACCGGTTGGACCAGGACCCGAGGCCTTCTCCGGATCGGTTCACTCTTTTTAACTATTTGAAGTTTAAAATATAACAAACACACCCTTGATTATTACCATCAGTCCCTGAAGGTTTCAAATCTAGCAAACACACCCTCTGGCCAAATGCAAATCGGCAATGACCTCCCCTTTTCCGGCGACCTTCCACCTTCCCTTACTGTCGGAAACCACCTTCTGAGTTCTGACTTTCTCCGGTGCTGTCACGCTTTATCTCCAATAGTCCAACCGCTGCGTGATGTTTCGTCGTCCACCTTCGCCACGAGATTTTTCTTCCATTTCTCAGCGTCGATCGACCTTCTCCGCCATCGATAGGCTTCCTTAGCCACCGATCTACCTTCTCCCAAGCTCCCTTGTTGTCGTTCACAAAGATCCAGTCATATCACCAAAAAAAGCAACCGCGACCAGTGACTTTACCACCGATTTGCCATTTTCCGGCGATGCCTCTACTTGCTAGCTGCTGATTCGCCCTCCCTATCATCCGATCTACCCTTCTTGGTGTGTCGCTGCTGCTCTCCCAATCGATCGTCAATTTGCATTTGGCCAGGGTTGTGTTTGCCAGATTTCAAATATTTAGGGTTTGATAGTGATTATTAGGGGTGTTTTTGTTAGATTTTAAACCTGTCAAACCATCGGTTCAACCGGTTGGACCGGTTGAACCGTGACCCGGCCATCAAAGCGGTTTACCCTCCGGTCCGGTTTTTAAAACAATGCTTGAGATCGTGATTTATCTGCTCCAAATCTTTTAGGTAAAACATGTTTCTTTTTTTTTTGGTGGGTGAATTACAAAACATATAGCACAGTTTGCAATAAATACTTCCAATGTAGTTTGCTTGAGGAAGCATAGAAATTTATTACTATTAGTTACTTCTAGCATTGTTTGTCAACATGAGATGTGGACTAGAATCGGCAAAGGAAGAATTTAACCAACCAATTACCCTAACTGATATAAGGTGAGTAGTAAGGCCATTCATGTATTTGAATTTAGGAATTTTCGTGTAAAAACATGTACGGGGCGAATGTACAATGATATTACTAGAACTATTCCAGTATTAACCTGACCTTTTTCCTTGCAACAATCGCTTGATCTTAAATGACTGAATATATTGCAATTTGCAAACCCAACAAAAGAATGGGAAAGCAGTAAAAATGTTTTGACAGCACACTCCTAAGTCCCAAGAAGCCAAAACAGCCAAAAGAAATACAGGGTCACAATAGATGGGAAGCCAGAAGACTGCCATTGTGTTGGCAGAACAAGACATCTGAGTATCTAAGTCCTTTAGGTTATAAGAAACATGCAGAGTATCAAGTCGTTGAACCACACAAAGAAAGTATGGAGAATTCAATCAAACTAGCTAAATACTAGGCTTAGTGAAAGATACCCATAATTAGGAGGCTTAGTCCAATCATTCCACAAGATTAAAGAAAACACATAACAGAGTATGTTTAAGTATAAAGGCAATCTGCTAACTTAACAGATTACCCTAAAACCTTAAGCAGTTAAAGAGAGTGATGTTGATATCAGGAAAAAACTGATGGCAACATGAATTTGGCTATTGTCATAACTCCTTTAGAACTTTACCTTATACTTAAAAGACCTTGAAGGACCTCTCCAATGTTTCTGATGTTTACTTAAGGGGTTGAGACTAAAGATTAATGTCTCTCGCTCACAGTAACATCCATATTCCAGTCTACAACCAACCAAGACATTCAACATTCACCTGCCCTTTGGAGGAAAACTCTCAATTGATCAATTTTATCATTGAAGAAAAACAGCCAAAGACATTACCCCCTATGGGGAGCTCACACCTAATTTTAATGAGATGGGCAGATAATGGTAATGATGGTGTAGATGAAGCACATTCTGGTGTTTATCAACAAACATGATTATAAAAATTATCAAGAGATGACAATCAGAAA